TGTCAATGTTGACACTCTCTCGCCACACCAACATAGTATCCAATGTCGCTCATCTTGTTGGCGCTCTGTGGCCAGCCTAGACTAGCCTACACTACGTATTGCAACCTGCCAATATACATGATGGCTTCGCCAAACGCAGACCAGGTATATGCCTCTTTCTACCGTCATCACCCCCTGACTCCCCACAATATGTGTCTCCCCTTCCCGAAGACCACCATCGCCCACTGGCATGCACCCCAGCAGCCCGGCTATGGTTGCTGCGCCCACTGCCACAGCAGCGCCCGCGTGCGCCTCTGGCCAGTGCTGGTGCATCCTGCTTGCGATGCAACGCAGCAGCGTGGCCGCATTGCCTGCCTGGCCAGAATGTGCTCTCCTGGGTGAGGCACTTCCCTGTATGGAAAGTGCAGCCCAGCCTCTGGCTGCCTGGCCCTGGTGTGGGTGTATCCAGTAGCTTCACATTAAGCCAAAGTGTCTGCGTCCAGGCTGATGCAGACAGTTGCCTGGGCCTGCAGCGGTGAGGCAGCCCAATCTGTGCGACGTTGCTGCTGTCACTCGCTGTTTCCTCATTGGCCGCCAGGCCTCCAGCCACGTCGCTACCTGTTCTCTCATTGGCCGAGAGCCTCAGGCCATGTCGCTTGTGGAGTGAGCCCAGAGGCTCAGCATCGTGTGCTCAGACAGGTGTTTCCCTGTAACCAATTGGTCCGTGGTAACTGTCTGGCGCCCAACAGTGCAGAAATGACAAAAATGGGGGCCCGTATTGAAATCAGGCCCGCCTTCACTTGGGCGGGCTAGGGGCCCCTCGGGCATGTGGAGGCAGCGACCGAGCGACCAATGTGAGGGTTCGTTCCTCACATGGGGTTCATCCCTAACAGTAACAGCAAGTCAGTTTTTAGATGTGATACACCACACTTCTTCAAAGGAAACCCTGAGCAGCACTGATTACTCCTGAGAAGGTGAAATGACTGTCAGGTAAGCCTATTCCTTGTTGGATTCCCGCGATCCGGCATGTGTGCCGACTTTCAGGTTGATCTAGAAGAGCTAGAATCAAACCAGATATGAAGCTGACTCAGCTGAGCCTAGCGGAGCACAAAACGCCTTGAGGGTCTTTCTCCTGTTACCTCAATCTTCACTGTGTCGTCTGTGCCTCACATCCAGATTGGATCTGGCTCCTTCGGGGGCTTGAAGATCTGATGTGTGAGATAGCAGGGTCTGCCAGAGAAGTCTGACCCCCATGAAAAAGAGAGGAAAGTGGAATCTTCAGGTGTAACTCGTGTGTTTGCCTTGGGATCGTGTGCCATATTTTTCATCTTATCTCTGTTCCACCATGCAGATTAACAACACCCAGCCTTCCTCCACTGCCAGTTGATCGTCTGAGTGCACCATCTTGTCCAATTTCTCCACAGAGTAGCTGCCTGAGGAGGAGGGACCCTTTTAGGCTTGAAAGAAGACTGATAGAGAGTAGGGTTGTCAGCAGGGAAGTGGATGGGGGCATTGTCCACACAGTGGCACACACTATAAAAACCATTAATGTCAGAAACCTCAAATCCGGGTTCCCACTGTCCTAAATGGCCTGGATCACTGCCCCAGTGTAGCAAATCTCAGATCTGGGCCATTCCGTCCTGTCCGGCTGACACCCTATGTTGTTGCAATATTTTCAGATTTTATGACTTGGGCTGCTGGCCCGGTACTACTGGCCTTATGGCCCCGAATGGAAGCAAAATCCGCCTAGCTCCTGTGGCCACCTGTTGAGAAATAGCCTTTGTCATTCGAGGATACATGTTCTTAAAATAGTTTTCTGTCATGTGAGTGTTGAATGAGCGTTTTTTTTTTCTGGGTTATGTCTTTTTTTTTTTATGGTTGACTTTAAATTTTGTTCAGTAGGAGTAAGATCACCACTGGAAACCTGAAAGCTAAGCTGAAGGATAATTTGATAACCTGCTTGGATCCTGTCCCCATTGCGTACCATATCTGCACTTGCGTCATTTGTGCCCTCTGATGCACGATGTTTTTTCATTGTGCAGTTTCTAGGCAACTATGTGCAGAATGGTCCACGAGAACCATAGGCTGTAAAGTTGTAAACACATCGTATGTTACAGACAAGATAAAAAATGTTTGAGGGACTCCCGCTCATGGAACCACATGCAGCTCTCAGGGTGAGAGAGAGTGGACACGGGTGAGTGCTCACCCCAAAATTTTTTTGCATGTCGAGGTGAATGCTCACCCCGAAATTGTTTTGCGTGTTTTGAACTGTGTTAGTCCCCGGGCGGCCCGGACCGGGCAGGGCGCCGGGTGATCCCAGCGCATAATATTCTAAAAAATAGAAAATAAATTTAATAAAATAAATTCAAAAAATCCGAAAAACAAAATGTTGTGTAAAATTGCAATATAAACGACGTTTGGCTGAGGGCCACCTCGAAATTCCTTGTTAATTTCAATTTAAAAATAAATGAGAAAACCTGAGTCCCAAAAGACTCCAAATGTACCCTTTTAAGCCCTTTTGTCACTGCTTATACCCACCAACACCCCCTGGATGACCCATCACCAAAACCGAAGTTAAGACCGGATTCTGACTGCTTGGGCCAAGCGCAGTCCTGGCCTGAAGTCTTTTTTTTTTTTTTTTTGGGATCCTTGCCTCTTTTTTGACCCGTCTGGTTTTGCCGGGCAACCCCACCTCTGGCCAACTGGCACGGGCGTGCCTGGCCAGGCGTGCCGGGCCAGGCGACAGCCCAACATTGGTTTTGAACTGTTTTCACATTTGTCACCATCAGTTGAGCATGTTTTATTTATTTGATACCATCGGGACTCAAACTCGGGTTTGTACTTCAATAGTCCATGCCTGTAGCAATTGAAGTAGGGAAGTTGGTAGCTTTGCTTTTGTTGTCGGTTAGTGGGATTGTGATGATGTGTTTGGCACTGTTGGATAGAGGTAGACTGAAGGGATCGCTACTATCGGTATCAGCCTGCCTGCCCTGATTGAACTCGAGAAACGTAAAAGAGTAGCAGGTAGACTATGGGAATCGCCTTCTCGCATTCGGCTCCAATTTTTAGTGTGGTTTTCTTTTTCTTTAATTAAAAGACCGCGGCGGGGGCCAAGAGCAGGGAATCGCAAAAAGTGTCCACGTTATTAACCCCCCCCCCCC